AAAGAGTGCTCTGACAGGGTGGTCTCACGCAGGAAGTGCAGGGCTCTTGCCTGTGGACGGCGAGAGAGGTGACAGTGCCCTTGCACTCAGCACGTATTTACCAGCACTAACTAGTCCCTCTCCCCTAGGACCCACCAACAGACCTCAGTGGGCCAAAGAACGCAGCCCAACCATAGGCCCAGAAGAGCAGGGAGCCTGGTGACAGCCCTGGGGGTGGCAGAGACCATTGATGGCAAAGTGGAAATTAATTTTATTTTATTTGTGTGTCCATCATTATTATTAGTTCATTTTAAAAAAACATATTTTACAGGCCGGGCGCAGTGGCTCACGCCTCTAATCCTAGCACTTTGGGAGGCTGAGGTGGGTGGGTCACCTGAGGTCAGGAGTTCGAGACCAGCCTGGCCAACATGGGAAAACCACATCTCTACTAAAAATACAAAAATCAGCCGGGCGTGGTGGCGCACCCCTGTAATCCCAGCTACTTGAGAGGCTGAAGAAGGAGAGTCGCTTGAACCCGGGAGGTGGAGGTTGCAGTGAGCCAAGGTCGTGCCACTGCACTCCAGCCTGCACCACGGGAGCCAGACTCCATCTAAGAAACAACAACAACAACAACAACAACAAAACCCGTATGTTCCAAATTGGGACTCTTAAACATCCCCGTGATCTTATTACACTCATCCATCAGCATCCATTTATTCTTCTATGTGTTACACCTTAACTCAGTTCTCAAGTAAAGATGTTCATAGAAGTCTTCCTGATTATTTCAGAAAAAACAGAGAGGTGATTTATTGTGAACCCTGGAATAGTTGACAGCAACAGGACTGCTTGTGTTTCCCCTAAGTGGTTCTCAAGGAGGATTGTGTGCTTCCCTCAGCGTGCCCTTCCCAAGCAGGAAAGACGGGTCTCACGGCCAAAGATGGGAGTCCTTGCCCTGGTGGGGGCTCTCCTAGTCCCTGTGCCGATCCCATCAGGAATTGTTGATGACAGAGGAGAAAACAGGGCTGCAGAGCTGGGGTAGCCTGTCCAGGGTGGAATTTAAACTTGCAGGACATCAAAGTCACCACACCTTAAGTTTTAGCCTTTGGGTGACTTGGATGAAACCCTGGACCCTCTCTGTGACTGTGATTTGGTGCAAAATGACTGCTTGTTGCCTTGGGAAGAACTGTGGGCTACACCACACCCAGCTCTCACGATGCACAGGTGAGCAGGGGCGCGCCTGGCACACGGCGCTCCAATCCACGGTTCTTAGGTCCCCCTGCCTAGACTTAAACAGAAGTTAGTTACAGCCAGCTCACTTGCTGACTCTTAGTGCTCTGGTGGGGCTAATGGAAAATGTATCTGATCATTAGGAACTGCATTTGGCTGCTAGTCATAGAGAGCTGAAAAATGCTGGCTTAAACAAGGAAGTGGGTTCCTTTTCCATAAGGTCACATGAAGCCTGAAGGTTAGCAACCAGAGCTGGTGAACTGTCCCCCATCACTGCCCCAGGCCCTCCTGGGGCCCTCCGTCCCACCAGGAAAGAGGAGGCAGGGGTAGGGTCAAAGGGGCCTCCACTGACTCAGCCCCCTTTGATGGAGTTCCCTGAAGCCCTACTTGACAACATCCAAGTCACCCCTGGCTGCAGCTCAGTCCCAGGGCCACCCCACCTGCAAAGGTGGCTGGGGAAGGATGCACCAACAAAATCAGGGTCTGATACTAAGCAGAAGGGGCTGCAACTAGCAGTTTCTGCCACAGTGATTGTTAAAGTGCTATTATAACTAACTTACCCGCATACCCTGACTCCATTCTCCATTCCCCAGCCACCCACCCTTCGCCCCACTCCCTGTTCCTGCAGAGACTTTGAGGCCTCAGGCCCTGACATGCTGGAAAATGTGGCTCCTTCTAGGGCAGCAGCCTGCTGTTTGCCTCTCAGCGTGTTTCAGGTTTTTCTGAGCGTTGGAGGAGTTTCTGTGTTACTATATCCCCTTTGGGGCTTCCCCAGTGCTTTCCGCCAGAGAAGCCCGCCCATGCTCCAGCCCTGGAGGCGCTATGAGGGAGAAGGGCTCTGGCAGGCTCCCGGACCCAGGCAGGCTCTTTGCAAAGACCCTGCAGGTCTGAGAAATCAGTGGCCCTGGAAGGTGGTGATGGCTCAGCCAGTGACTAGTCATCAGGCCAATGCTTTCCCAGGTGCAGTGTGGTGGGCGGGAGGAGGCCTGGGTGCCATCTACTGGGGAGTGGGGGGCCTTGACCCTGCACCTGGGCTGCATACCCTCCTCATTCCAGGGCAAAGGTGGACCAGGGTCAGAGCCAATTGACCTTGGCCCCCTGTGCCCAGCCCCTCATACCTGTCCCCGTGCTGTAGCCATCCACCTCACCTGGGGCTCTGTGCCTGCATCCCAAAGATAGCCAAGGAGGTTCTGGTTCAGCCAGGACCACGAAGTTAGAGGGACAGGACCCAGCCCTGCCCCAGGACCTGCCCTCGATGGAGTAAGACACCCACAGAGGAGAGGGGAGAAAGGGGGACTCCTCTCCATTACCTCTAGAGACCAAGGCCAGGAGCCACCTATTGGGCTCAGGAAAGAGGCCCTTCCTAGTCTAATTACCTCCATAATAGGGCATGCACACAATTCGGGGTGCAGAGAGGAAGGTGTGCAATAAAAATAAAGGTTCACTCCTCTATGCCAGCCCTCAGTTCTCCCCAGAGGCAACCAGTGTCTACCACGTCCGTGGGTGTCCTTCGGGATATTTTCCCTGTGCATACACGTGGAGCTCTATAAGGTTTTTTACACACATGGTAACTCAATACACACTGTGCTGCAAGCTGCTTTCAAATAAATGCATTTATTATATCTTGGAGAACATTCCAGTCCTGCACAGTTAGTGCCGCCTGCCTCGTTGACAGGCTGCAGAGGATCGCATTGTTGCATGTGCAGGAATTTTATGACCTCCCTCCTGATAGAGGTTCGGGTTGCTTCCTGTTTGGGGCCATATTCTAAGAGATGCTACAATGCACATCCTTGTTCTGTATCTTTGGGCACTTTTACGAATATTTCAGGACCAAATGCTTAAGTGGAACTGCTGGGTCAGAGGGTATGTGCATTTGAAATTTTGGTAGATAAGGCCAAAATGCCCTCCAAGGGGTAGCCTCCAACTACCCCCTCATTAATCCATCCTACATTCAGCAAAGTGATTTGTAAAGATGACTAAATCATCTAATAATCCTGCTTAAAACTGCCAGGAGCTTCAGCAGTGACCCACACTTGCAATTCTGTGTGCCCAGTCCCCTCCTTCAAGGCTCCAGCCCCGCCAGGCTTTTGTGTCCCTCCCACACAGTGGCTTGATCCCACAACAGGGCCTTTGCATGTGCAAGGCCCTTGCACCTAGTGTCTTCAGAGCTCCACGGAATGCCTTCTTCCCATTCCTCAGTCTCACACTGTACCTCCTGGTGCAGGCTGCAGGCCTCCGCAGCCTCAGTTAAATATAACAGCCCTAGGCCAAGCCACCAATTGCCCAACTGGGTGGTCCAGCTGCTCTACTATCTCACTTGTTGGTGTGCTCATTGTCAACTCTACGTATGAGGAGTGAGCTCCTAAAAGCAGAGATTCAGCCAGCCCAGGTGGCTCACACCTGTAATCCCAGCTCTTTGGGAGGCTGAGGTAGGTGGATCACCTGAGGTCAGGAGTTCAAGACCAGCCTGGTCAACACGGTGAAACCCCGTCTCTACTAAAAATACAAAAGTTAGCTGGGTGTTGTGGTGCAGTGGTGCATGCCTGCAATCCCAGCTACCTGGAAGGCTGAGGCAGGAGAATTGCTTGAACCTGGGAGGTGGAGGTTGCAGTGAGCCGAGATCGCGCCATTGTACTCCAGCCTGGGCGACAGAGCAAGACTCCGTCTCAAAAACCAAAAACAAAACAAAACAAAAACACACACATACAAAACAGAAATTCTTGACTGTGTCTCTGGTGACAGTGCCTGACACTTAGTAGGTGTTCAAGAAGGAGATGCACCCTCTGCCAACATGAGGGTGGTAAGTGACACTTTACTGTCGTCGGGACTGTTTCCTTGCTGTTGGGTGAGGTCAAGCATTGATGTTTAAGGGTCTGTCTGTTTCTTTGTAATTTGATTGCTGCCCATGCCCTTAACCTGTTTACCTTTCAGGTTTTCTGTTTCTTATTGATATCACGAACTCTCTGTAATGAAGATAAGTCAGGTCTTTGTCTCTCATTTGTATTGCAATTTTTTTTTCTCAGTTGATAGTCTACTTTTAGGCTTTGGACTAATTTTCCATGTAAGTTTCAATTTCATGGAGTCAAGTGCATTAGTCATTTCCTGTAATTTTTTTTTTTTTGAAGAGTTGGGTCTTGCTCTGTCACCCAGGCTAGAAAGCTGGTGTGATCATAGCTCACTGTAACCTCCAACTCCCGGGCTCAAGGGATCCTCCTGCCTTGGCTCCTGGGTAGCTGGGACTTCAGGCCTATACGATTTCTAACTGTGGCGTGAAGAGATCCCCTCCCCTGGCTCTGTGAGGCCTGGAGCTGGGCTTTTCCAGGAGTAGGAGAGCGTGAGTTTGGTGCCTGATGCCTGCAAAGCAGCCTGGCCTCAGGTGATGCCAAAGCAAAAGCTTGGGACCTGGGGCAGACAGACTCTGGTTTGTATCTGGAGGTTAACTGGGCAGCTGTGGTGCACTGGAATGAAAGGAGAGGGAGAGTGGGACTCCTGAGGCCCTGCTGTGGGATGTGGGTGAGAGAATGGCAGGAAGGTGGACAGGAAGCACAGACCCTCAACCCCCTGGGACTTGGTGCCCAGGCTGGCACACAAAAAAAAGTAGGGGAACTCGCTTTTTCCAACCTGTGACTGACAGAGCAGTGTCTCCACCCCTGGAAGCTGCTCAGGGGCCACCTGCATGTTGGTACAGTGGGCAAGGAGGGGCTGCCCATTGCCCCCAGACAGCCAGTGGGTCTGGGAGGGACTGAGTCTGTGCTGTGGTCATAAGCACTCGAAAGACAGAGGCCACAGCTTCATTCTTGAAAGAATCTGTTTATTTTGAGATTAAAAGAGTCTCATCCCCCTGCATATCCCGCAAATACTAAATTTGATCTTTTTAATTTTAGAAAAGGGTCAACAAACTTCAGCTGGAGTATGATCTCTCTTTCAAACTCCCATTCTGGTTTAAGAAGCCCCAAAGGGTAACCCTTGACAAAAAAGTGGCTATGTTTGCACATGTGTGTGCATATATGTGTGCATGTGTGTAATACATACATGTGCATAATTTATACAATGTTTGCTGTTGTATCCATAAACCCCCTGTGGACAATTTTCCTTTTCGTACTCTGCTGTACACGTGTGGAGCGAAAGTTTAGCAAATACATAATTTGGTATAAATCCCATACAATGTGATTTCACAACCAGAAGCCTGACCGCTGAGATATTACTGAATTTTTAAAAGTGATAAACAAGATTTTTATGTGCAAACAAACAGGGCTTGTGCTCCAGCTGCGTCCAAATTTACTTGACAAAGCTATAAACACAAGGCCCTTTCTGAAGTCCTGCTGATTGAGTTTCCCCTTCCTTTTGTCGATGGAGAGGAATGTAAAGGCTAAGCTGGTGCACTCGCACTATGCGCCTCTGGGCTTTCTGGCTGCGGCGCTTAAAGGAACTCATTCATTCTCCGGATGGGGCAACACTCCTCACCCAGTGTCCTCCGAGGGCTTTCCCACACGGAGACCTTCCCGAACACAGAGACATCTGATCTTGGCTTGCCCAAGCTGGCCCAGGCCTCAGGGACTCAGGAGCCTGTGGAATGTGCTGAGAGCCTGAGGTCTCCGGCGGGGAAAGGGCAGGGGTTACAGCCCCCCTCCTGCTCTACCTCAACTGCTTCCCAACCGAGGGCCTCTAGTGTAATTCCATCTGAGACCCGGGGATGGCAGGAAGGCCCGGCCCTACTTCGTTTGATCCAGCTCAGAACGGGATCCTCCACCCCTGCTCCTGGAAACTGATGGAGGAGGCCAGCGGAGGCCCTGCCCGGCCTGATACCACTGTCTTCCCTGGGGCTGTGAAATCAGCAGTTGGGGGATGGGGTATTCAGATAACTCTGCTCCGGAGAACCAGAGAACCCTGGAGCCACCGCCAGGCGGGTAACTTCTCAGCACTTCTTAGCAGCAAGGAGTCAAGGGGTTCAGGGGAGAGCTCCATCTGTCTTCTAGGTCCTTGGAGAACTAGAGGCTGATGGCAGAGGGGTCAGGCTGCAGCCTGGGACCAGCCAGCTCTGCATGTGTGACTGTCATTCCACAGGAATTACCTTCTCTTGCGTGTGCAAGCCTCCAGCCGGCCCAGCTCCTCATAGGACTGGTAGAAAATGTCAAACTCCCTGGCGCCCCAGCCCCTCCAGACAGCCAGGCACCACTCTGTGTTTTCGTTTTCAAAGCTGCACACAACAGTGTCCTTTGCCACCACAGCAGCATCCACCAGCACCCTGCAGAGAGAAGGGGTCTGAGGAAACTCACAGGGTCCCCACTTGGGTGGGGTTGGGACCCTCACCCTGGGCCTTCTGAGGAAGGCAGAGCAGGCTAAGGGGAGGGGAGTATGTCTGCTTGCCAGCCCTCTCTGGGGTGTGCTCAGATGCACCACTTCTCCCCGGTGGCCCAGCCTGCGGGCTTAGGCTTTATAAAGTCCAAACATGGGCTGTGGGCATGAGTTCACTTCCATGGGCTTTGTCTGTAAGAGTCCGACTCCCTGGAAAGCCACAGAAGCAATCAGATCAGGCATCCGTGACTTAACTTCAAAGCGTCCAGAAAACACCAATGAACCAAATTTCTGCTTGTGAATGGCTCATGACCGAGTTTAACTCAACTCCCTTGCCACTAAGCTCGATGTGATTCTTCTCTCATTCTGTTTCTACACACTTAGGAAATACAGGCTCATATATTAAATGGAAAACCTACTGCCCCAAAGTCATCACTATATACATTTTTTGAAACTGTGGACAGTTCTGCAGGATTGGTGGGTGCGCTACAAGTTTCCTTTTGGGCCGCAGTGCAGCCTCCCTGCCCTGCTGCTGCCCCACCCCGAGCACATACTAACTGCCTTCCTTTCCTCCCTCTGTGCCCCGTGTGTGCAGCCTGCGTGGCACTGAGGTGCTCCTGCAAACTGGGATGTCCAGGGACCTCTGACTCCGCATGGCCTTGCCAGGGCCTCCCCTTAGGCTGACTGCTGGGGCCTCTTTCTCCCTATAGCGAGAAAGAGGTGAAATCTGGCTTTAGGGGATGGATAGGAAAAACAACAACAACTAAACATTAGGACACTAACGGCAGGTATGCCAAGGTCCCAACCTGGGTGCTGCACACCCATTTCCTCCAGAAGGCCAGCCTGCAAGCTGGGAACTCCGTCAGTTCAAGGCTTCCAGCCACAGACTCTGGCAGAGCTCAGGAGCAGATCCAGATCTTGCTTCCAGAACCACTAACAGAGCAAGGGTCACTGGCCCGGGATTCACTGCCAAAGTTCAAAGCTGGCAGGCAAGGGAGTGAGACTGCCATGGATGCCTCCTTGGTCATTGTCCTGCTCTGGGAGAAACAAGCTGACTGGGGTTTCTCCACCCTGTTATGCTCCAGGTGAAATAAAAACCCACTTGCCCAGGGATGGGGGATAACTCACGCTACAGGAAAACAGGCCTAGTGTGAAGTGGAAGAGCTCCAAAGTACACACACACACACACACACACATACAATTTGAATTGAGGACTTTTCATAAGGGAGATTTACCATGTGGGGCTCGGTAGTCAAAGTGAGGGGTGTAAACACTGTGGGGAGCTGCAGCTGGTACCAGCCTCACATCACTCCAGCCATGTAGACTATGTTCGGGATAGGCCACCCTGCCCAGCATACCCTCGCAGAGGAGACTGGCATAATCCTGGGGGTACCCACCCACAGACAGGTACTGAACCACGCCTCAGCCCAGGAAGGGCAGGAGCTGAGACCCCAGGCTTGGAGATGACAAGGTGTGCCTATGTCATCTGTCCCCATAGGGTGCTGTGTGGGCAGGTGGACACCTCAGGTAGGGTTTCCTGCTTGGCAGGAAGAACAGTGAATCAATCACCTGGATGCATCTGCATGTCAACTGCAGCTGAATTCTGGCCCTGGAGGCATTCGTTAGGTAGGGTACTTGATCTACAGGTGCACTGGGTTCTCCAGAAACAGGGAGCCATGGCCAGTGTGGAGCCCCTAGGAGCTGTCTGCGGGGCCCCATCTTGTTTCCACTTTGCCTTATAGCCAAGTTGGTGGATACGCTATTTGGGAGAATGGAGGGACAGCAAAGCCACTGTGCAAGACCTGGCTATGGGGCCTTCTGTGCTCATGCTGCTGCCTGGGTCCTAAAGGAGCTGCCACTCAGTCTTACCCATGTGGAGTCAGCTCTCGGGCTTTTAAGACGGCGATGACTCGGCCCCGCTGGGCACCAGAATCCTTCTCCAGGCCAATGACGATAACATCTCCACCGCGCCTAAGCAACCAAAACCCAGAAGGGGAAGCGTTTTTGTCGGTAGCCGTGCTCTCAGGGGAATGAAGCCGGTGTGGAGAAGGGTGCGGGAGGGAGGCAACGGACATGCAGTTTCTGCTAAGGGATTAAGTTATGGGGAGGGGACAGACCCCAAAGCAGAGGAGAATTTTCCCAGTGGAAGCTGAATCACAGTTGATTGTGGCTTTCCTTGTGTGGCACCTTAAGCTCTCTGGCAGGCAATAAGCTTCGGTGCAGCCACTCTTAGACTTGCTAAAGATATCACTCCCATTCCCAATGGAGGGAACCAACCTTCTTGGAAGCACAGCACCTGCTGGGTCCCCACATGACCTTTAAGGAAGCCAGCGGGTCTCCCTGGCTCCCAGGGGGTCTCCTTGCTCTGTGGGCATGCCCTCGATGGTGCCCTCACCTCGGGAAACTCACCTGGGGACCCAAATGAGGTCTCTGACGGCGAGGATCTTCACGGCCTGCAGGTGCTGGCTGAAGGTCTCCCCGTCCATGGGGGTCAGGTCATGCTCAGACCTGTCAGAGGCAGCACTGGGCTCGTGTAGCCTGTCTGAGTCCTCGCAGTCAGGGGAGAAAGGCACGCTGGAAGAACTTGCCGGGGAGCTGGGGAGGCTGGAGGGGGACCTGGCAGCCTGGCGGGGTGGGGATGAGGAGTAGGAGGACATGGAGCAGTAGTCGGTGAGTGACTCCTGGTGGGTCAGGATCTGTGTGCCCAGCTCCTCACTGTACATGATGCTCACATCCGCGATGGAGTCCCCCTCGGGCACCTTTGGGTTGGCAGTGTGGCTGGCTGCCAGGGGTTCCATGTCCAAGGGCCGCACGGGAAACATGTCCCTGAGGGGGCTGGGGTCCCCACAGAAGTACCGGGCACACAGCTGGTAGGTGGTGGAGTGGTACATCACCAAGGAGTTGGCCTTGTCATCCAGGCACCAGACGACCTCCTCCCCTCTGCCCTCAGAACTGCACACGACCGACGTAACCACGGAGGGGGCCGCGTAGGGCTCCAGCCGCCTGCAGATCTCCAGGGAGGCACAGTCAATGACAAGGAGGCCCGGCCCATTGCTGTACCAGACCTCAGAGCCACTGTTGACCACCTCCATGGCCTTCACTGGGTAGGGATTCTGCCGTGCGTCTTCGTCTGCGATGCTGAACTTGGACCTGTTGGCTGTGTGTGAGCACAGGTAGGAGCAGCTGTCCTTTGGGGCACCCCGCACCACGGGAAACACAGCCACAAGCCCATCGGCAAGGCCCGCTAAGACCAGGTAGGAATTCTGCAGGAAGGAGACAGGGATGGGTCACATCCTTCCATTTCACACGTTCCACCAACACGCTTCAGGGCAGCCAAGCTCTTAGAAAGGCTGGGGCTGCTCCTAAGGAAGTGAGCTCTGACTCAGCAGAGCCATGTCTACCATCCCTGCAGCAAAGAAAGGAATATGCCACCGAGAGGCAGGGCCTGTGGCATCAAGTGAGACCGCGTGTCATCTGGACCACATGGGCCGCCTCTGCTTGTGCCAGCTTCTTGCAGGGCGAGCAGCAGGGAGCTGCCTTCTCCTTGAGGCCACCAAGGCCTCCTTCAGAGGCACGACCTGGTGCCCGCCCTTTTCTGGGTGTGCTTAACATGAGGGCAGTGTGGGCATGGCAAGTGTCTGTGCACTGCCCCCTGCCTGCCACCCCCCTACCAGGTGGAGTGTTCCATAAGGACGGGCTCCCAGCCCAACAGCATCCCCGTGGCACTGGCCTGGCACAGGGAAGGGCTCAGTCTCCTTCATCTTGGTGGCCCTGTGACTCCAGCTGGCTCCTGCTCCAGGTGGACATGTGTTTGCTGAACTAATTCTGGAAGAAATTGCTTCCTACTCAACCCTCTCATGGAGGCCTGTCTCAGCCTGCTAAGCCCTCATCCCAGCTTACATCTATCTGAGATGCCTGTGGTTCAGCTGACATTGACAGGGTCCTCAGGGTGCCCCCCACCTTCTCAATGAAGCATGAGCTCTTCTACACCCGCCAGAGGTCACTGGGCAGAGGCCAAAGTTGCAGGGACCATGCTGAATGCTGGACCCACCCCAGACCACCCCAGGGCACCTCCCAGGGCAGAGCCAGGAATACAGTGCAGCTTTGCAGCCTAGACACCACGTCGGCTGTGGTGGGGGTGGGAAGAGGTCTACAGAACAAAGCTGGAGTCAGGGCAGAGCAGGGAGCTGGGCCTCATGCCAGTGAGGGGGCAGGGCAGAAAGCCTCCTTGTGGGGAGCTGGGGAGCTCAGGAGGCTGGCTGTGCAGGGAAATGGAATGGAGACCCGTAGCTCACTGTCCAGGACAACATGCTGTAAGAAAGCGTATCAAAATCCATCCCCAGGATTTTAGGGAAAGAAGGCAGCCAAGGCAAATAGGCTCCAGGTCTGTATCTGGAGTCCTGGCTCAGGCCCCGGCCAGGGCGGTGAGCACCACGTTCCGGCTGGGTGTGAACGTGCGTGCGCGTGCAAGAATGCAGGCTCTGCCCTGGCGGCCTCGGAGGGGGCAGACACCCTGCACAGGAGGCCCTGTACAGAGCACGCTTTATTCCCTCTGGTCGTGCAGGAGGTGGTGCCCTGGCTGGGGGCTCTGGCCAGCGGTGGCCTCAATAACACTTTGTGTCGTGTTCTCCTGTGCTCTGGTGTGGGCCGGGTCCCAAGCTGCCTAGCCCTGCTGTGGGGCCATGGTCATAAATGACTCTAAGGTTTATTTCATACTTTTTTTTTTTTTTTTAAAGAAATGAAACTGAAGAAGGGTGAAGAGAAGAGTTCATGTATTTTGCTTCCATCCAGAAGTAATAATAATGCTCTTTTACCAAGTGCACCGGCCTAGACCTTTGGGTATGCTAGGCCTTCTCTCTGTCTCCTCTTATACCTATTTTGTAGATGGGCAAACTGGAATTGGATGATGACAGTCCCCACATTTTAACAAAGCAACACCAGTAAAGGCTTCTTGTGCATTTACCGAGGGTGCCTACTGCACAGACAGGCCCCTCAGGGTGGATGAAACCAGAACTGCCTGAGCCGTGCCTGAATCCTGTGGGCGGAGGAGCCTGGAAAAGCCAGGGAGCTGCCTCCCACTGAGGGGCAGCTTCTCAAAGGAGGGGCCAAGGCCTTTGGTCTTGAGAGCTGAATCGGAGGCGGTCTGGGAAGAGGCGCTGGGATGTGAAGGGCCCAGCACAGAGTCGGGTGCTTTGTGGGGAGGGTGCTGGGGCTGGCAGGGTCCGGAGGACAGCCTCACAGAGGCTGGGGCTAATCCCAAGGTGTAGCACAGCTGGCTGGGCCCTTTACTGGGGAGAGTGCCCCTTGGGGTCTCATTTAGAAAGGCTAGGGCTAGGAAGTTAAAGAGATGAGTCTGCAGGGCCATGCTGGACAAGGAGAAACTGTGTTTGGTGTAGATGGTGAGTACTTGGTGGGAGGCAGAGATGGAGGGAAGAAGATCAGGACCTCCAGGACCTGGTGACCAAGTGGCTGTGGGGTGGCTCTGGCCTGGGCAGGTGGGAAAGAGGCTCCGGATGCCACTGCCCTCTGAAGGGGAAGGGCACACACATGACTACTCACTGTGCCATTTGCACCAACAGTCATTCCACCTGAGTCAGGGCATTTGCATGTGAAAGGGGGTTTTCACTCGGCCCTCAGTCTGGCTGAGGACTTAGGTTTTTGCAAACCAGAAGGCACTAATGATGGACCAGATCTGATATCTTTCCTCCCACTGTCTCTAAGGCTGTGTCCTAGGTCAGGTGGTCCTAGAAGGTGTGGCTCTGCAGTCCCCACCGTGACACAGCTTCGGGCTGTTCCCAGCTAGGAGACGCCTCCCAGGCATGGAAGCACATCAGACACCTGCATACCCGCCTTTGCCCTGACCTCACCTTTTTAATAACAGGCACGGCCAAGAAGCAGGTGACGACAGCTGGAGTGTCCAAGGCCCGTTGGGGTGTGTTTAAGGGACACATGCCCTTGAGGGTGTAGATGTAGATTTTCTGGTCCTGCAGAGGCAGACAGGTCCACTGTGAGACCCAGGCTGGAAAGTGTCTGGCATTTCCCGAGGCATTCCCATGAGGATGCACTCAGCCTTGGGGATCCCCTGTGGGTCTTGGAAAGCTACATGGATTGACACGTTCTGGTGGGTTGTTTATGTATTTCTGTTCTTTGTAGAAACGTTGAAAAAGACAGAATAGTCTAAAGAGGAAACAGAAAATAGCCCATAATCTATTCCCCAGAGAAAACCACCATTGGAATTTGGGGCCACAGCCTCTCAGAGGTTCTCTGTGGTATTTGTATGTGCACCTGGTACCGGCAAAGTGGACTCACGCTGCAATGCTATCTTCTCACTGTTCTTTCCATGTGACAGCATGCTGTAGGCAGAGCCCTTGCTCTCACTCATTCTAGCAGGAAATGATGTGGGAGCATCTCTTGGCTGCCTGGGACTGGGGTGCACCTACTTTGGCTAGTGTTGTCAGATGTTTCCTAACACTGAGATTTCCGAGGCTTAAGTGGTAAGCATGCTTTTGAGATTTCTGATACATATGTGAACACACTTCCAAACTGCCCCGAGGAAAAGTTGCACCAATCTATCCCCGCACCCACAGCCTCAGAACAATTTTTTTTTTTTTTTTTTTTTGGAGATGGTGTCTCACTCTGTCACTCTGTCACAAGGCTGGAGTGCAATGGTGCGATCTTGGCTCTGTGCAACCTCCACCTCCCGGGTTCAAGGGATTCTCCTGCCTCAGCCTCCTGAGTAGCTGGGAACACTTGTGCACCATCATGCCCAGCTAAATTTTGTATTTTTTAGCGGAGACAGGGTTTCACCATGTTGGCCAGTATGGTCTCAATCTCTTGACCTTGTGATCTGCCTATCTCGGCCTACCCCAAAGTGCTGGGATTACAGGCGTGAGCCACTGTGCCCAGCCTGCCTCAGAACATTTGTGTTTGGCCAGTTCTCTCGGGATTTCTCAGAACACCCCTCCTTAGGCCTTCTAGTGACTTCCCTGATTTCCCTGATGTGAAGGCAAGAGGCCTACGGAGCTGAGTGACTCGGCAGTGTTATGGGAAACCCAGTCATGTCCCTAGCTTCCTGGGTCTCTCCTCCTGCTGAGGGTGTACATCTGGTCCTCATCATCCCAAATCCTGGCCGCCAGCCAGCAGCAGGCAGGGTTGAGCTGCCCTTGGTTACAGGCTGCTACTTCACGGGGTTCATGGCATTACTCTGGGATTGCACGGGGATGCACTGGGGGTTAATCTGAAAGTTCACTTGACCTGGTGTCCTGTATTGTTATGAATGTGGCCCCCACCCAGGGGCTGCACCCAGTGGGCAGTGATTACCTCGGTGGGCAGGCCTATGGGCAGTGCTTACCTCAGTGGCTGTCCACAGGGATCTCTGGACCTGGAGCTGGCAGCTCACCTTCATCCCGGGGCAGCTCATCCTCTGCACCTCCATGAGACCCTTCTCTGTGTTCACCACCGTGTAGTTCCTGTAAGTGGCAGCAACTGTGCGGTCAGTGCCTGGGGGCCAGGGGCTGCCTCCTTTCCCCAGGCCTGGCCTGGGCCAGCCGCGAGCCTCATTTACCTCCCCTGCTCCCACCCAGGGTTGCATCCTGCTGCGTTCTGAGAGGGCAGAGCTGGGTTCTGTCTGAAGGGTAATGCTTGACCGTCACCCGCAGGGAGGGCATTCCCCATGGAAGAAAGGCTGTTCTCTTTCTGTGACCCCTGAGGGTTGAGATGGTTGCCCCCAGTAGGAAGGAGGGGCCCTCCCACCAGCCATATCCTTCCCACCCGTGTTACGTGGGGGGCCCCTCATTGCAGAGTAGACAAAGTCAGGGTTAAAGACAAGTTGGGAGAATTCCAAAGGAGATTGGGTTGGGGTGGGGGGCACTCAAAATGTGCTCCCAGCACGAGTGCTCTGAGAACTAATGGCTTGTCATTTGCGAGAGCCTTGCCTCACCAGGCCGCTGTCCCCGGCATCGCTGCCTCCCCTCGGCCCGTGGCAGGCATCCCCGGCACCCACTGCATGGAAGAGGAGGCTGAAGCTGATGCGACTGGGAAGTTACAAACCCCACATCACATAGCTCTGTCCCTCAAACTCAAGAGAGTACGTTAAGCTCACGAATAGCATTCTCAATATAAAGTTTCTCCTACTACCAAATTTTAAAAAGCTTCACCACTGTTGACTGATAATGTATTTGCAGATGATAGAAATGGTAGAAAATACAGCAAACAAAAACTTCCTTCAGGTGTATTTGTCTCCTTTTCCCATCATTATTTTATGCAACAGAAAAACAAAACTAAGATATTCTAATAGCTTTTACTTTGAAAACAGTTAAAAATAGAGAGAGTCATAAAGAATAATTGCCCCTGGGCCCCGCAACTGGAATTGTGTCCTATGTGAATCCTATTTACCTGCTCAGCTGCCCTGCCTCTCTCGCCTCCTTTCCTTCCTTAATTCTCAGACAGATCTCAAGTCCAGCTCCACCCTGCTTGGCTGCCCGTGTGCTCTGGGCCAGCCCCCTCCTCCCTTCCTGTGAGTGAGCCTCTCTTCAGACCAGTGGTGAGTTTTAAAGAACCTTCACAGGTCACAGGAAGAGGCCTCTCTCTTCCCTCTGGGAAGTCTTCTGAGGCCTGAGCAGAACTGTCTCAGGTACCTGCCACGTGTGTGTCTCTAGGCCAGCAGAGCAGGGTCTGGCCCAGCCTCCCAGGGCCAGTCTGGCTCCAGGTCCTCCAATTCACCCTCAGAAGTGTCTGACGGTGTCCTTGCTTCTAGGGTGGCAGATGTTCCCGGCGCACTTCCTGCCCCAGACCTGGACTCTGCCATGATTCTGATGAGCCCTGGTTCACTTTGGTACTTAGAGAGCACAGTGTAGGTCCTAGGGGTGCACACTGGCATTTGGTTGGTCCTTGTTTTTAGGCCTTTTCAGTGAGCAGAGCTGAGAAATTTGTGTTTATTTTTTTATATCACGAGTGCATCCAGTCAATTCAGAACTGCAGGCTTTTACCCTATTTTACAACTCTTTCTCTTTTAGCCCATGCTGAAAATCACGGTTTCCAGCAACAGCAATATAATTACTCATTAACTTACTCCACAACCACAAGCAGCATCTTAGAATAACAATCACAACAGTACTACCAACAATGTAATTACTGAAATCTGTTTAATTAATATGTTTGCTTTTTGTTTTGTCCTTAGAGTACATCCCATCAGGAAGGCATGCTCCATTGCTGTGTTTTAGAATAATTTCTCTTTTTTCTGAGGCAGGGTCTCACTCTGTCACCCAGGCTGGAGTGCAGTGGCACAATCACCGCCCACTGCAGAGTCAGACTCCTGGGTTCAAGCAATCCTTCTGCCTCAGCCTCCTGAGTAGCTGGGACTACAAGTGCTCGCCACCATTCCCAGCTAATTTTTGTTATGTTTTTATTTATTTATTTATTTTTGTAGAGACAAGGTTTCACCATGTTTCCTAGACTGGTCTCAAATTCCTGAACTCAAATGATCCACCTGCCTTGGCCTCCTAAAGTGCTGGGGTTACAGGCATGAGCCACAAGGCCTGGTCAGAAAAACTTTTCTACAGCATCATTTCTTAGAGTGCATCTGTGTCACAACACTCAGTCCTAATGGCATAAAATCTGATGCAAACTCACGAAGACTGACCTAAGAGAAACTGCAAAGTCTGTTCCATTTATCTTATTATGTCTCAAGCTCAGTGATATTCCCCCACTCTACCCCAGGCACCCTCTGCAAAGGTCATACTCCAGATACTGTCTTTACTACTGACTGGGTGCCTCCCACCCACCCCATGGCAAGCATGTCTTTTCTGATGGCCACCTCCTACTTTTTCAGCTCACCCCACCTAATACCATAACTCTTGAGGTTTAAAAAAAATTTTTTTTTTAACTCTAGCAATACCTAGGATCCTTTGGTACTTTTCGTTGTGCTCTCTGAATTTATGGCCTCACTTAGGTGCCTTGGTCCATCTCTGTATCACTCCCTTGAAAACACCCCGCCCCTGCCCCTCTCTCCCTCCTGGCAAAACCCCAACTTTGTTTAAACCCACCCTGTTGCCCCTTCTGCAATCTGGGGCAGCAGAACATTCTTGAGAAAGTCACATAACCAGGCTGACAGGTCTCATTTCCTTTTAAAAAATGTTTTTAAATTTTCTAATTTTTTAAAAGATGGGGTCTTGCTATATCGTTCAGGCTAAACTTGAACTCCTGGGCTCAGGGGATTCTCCTGCCTCAGCCTCTTGAGTGGCTAGGACTGTAGGCACATGCCACAGTGCCCTCATGTCCCCAGACACCCTGGCAGATACTACTCATTTCTGGTGTCTCTTAACCACAAAACCGTATATGCACGTCTGTTTGTGTGGACTTTCTTCTGCTCTCCCTGCTCTTTCTTGAGTGCAGTCTAACCAGGTTCTGGACCCTACTGTCTGCTAAATAATTCTCATTGTGGTCAACATGGACTCTGTTCCCAAATTCCACAGTGGCCTCCCACCCCAAATTCAAAGAGGGCAGGGCAGGCCATAGGAGCTTACCTGGACTCCTCTTTTCCGTCCCAAAACACCACGGTGTACTCCTGGCCCTGGGACGAGAAGAAGGCTGTCTGCTTTCCACAGTGCAGCTCATACATGAAGATGGCAAAGGTCGGGTCCTTCATCTGGCTCACAACCGACAGGGCCAGCGGTCGCTGAGGGAGAGGAGCCACCAGAAGGGAGCAAGGTCACTTACAACCAGATTGGTGCCACTTCTGCCCATGAGGTCAGCCAGCTTCAACCAGGTAGAAATGAGGGATTCTGTTCATTCAGATTGGATCCAAACAAGAGGCTAAAACAGCTTCAGACGTCAGGAGCAAACCCATCCAGATATCTGGGTCACCCTTAGCTATGGCAATTTAAACTCATCTGGTCAGGTTAGCTGAACCCCAGGTATTCCAACCCAGGCCAAGGACATACACTCTTCATCTCACTATATTGCCCAAGCTGGAGTGCAGAACCTACTCACAGGTGCGATCATAGTGCACCACAGCCTTGAACTCCTGGGCTCAAGTGATCCTCCTGCCTCAGCCTCCCCAGTGGCTGGGACTATAAGTCCATGTCACCATGCCCAGATAAGGACATGCATTCTTCTAAAGAATATCCTGTTTACTCTCAATACATTAAACTAGCTCGTTTGATTTAATAAATGAGTTTTAACCTTGAAACCACTAGCCTCTTCCAAAAACACAAAAACACCACCAACAAAAAACTAGCCTTAACACTATAATATGATCTCTGATTCTCACAACCAAACCTTTTCCCCGTTACTTTAGAAGGAGATACCCACATTCCCTCTGTTCTTGCACAGGGACTGTATTGTTATAAAGGGGTTGATATACTTTGTTTGCATGGTGAAGTAACACAAAAGTTGGGGAGGAAAAGGAAGTTTGTTTCCTAAGAGTGACATGCACACACAAAGAAAATGAAAGTAGATATGTTAGGAGCAGCAAATATCACCCTCTAGAAGAAATGAGCAGAGAAGGGTCGCCAGTTGTGACGGGTGGGCAGCCACACACACATACTCTGGGGACCCACAGCTTCTGCCACATGGCAGGAGGTCCCAGGGCCCTGCGCTCTGTGCTCCCAAGTACCTTCTCTGGCTTAGTGTCCCAGCACTCCATCATGAGCGCCTGCAATCGATGGAACTGCACTTCCTCCGGCTGCCCCAGAACTGGGCGGATGCCCTTGGACAGTTTCTTGGCAATCTGGAGCTGGTGGTGGCCCAGTGCAGGTCGCTGTCCTGACAGCAACTCGTAGAGCACCATTCCATAGGAGAACATATCTACCTGGGCACAGAATAAGCCAAGTCAGGTCCCTGCCTGGGCCCAGTGGCCTTCACTAGTTGGCCCTGAGGTTGACAATTAGACAAGGAAAACAAACATTCAACCAACCACCTGACCATGTCCCTCTGTCCATTTATCCATCCATCCTCCCAACTACCCATCCATCCACCCATCTGACCACTTTCTCTTCTATCCATTTATCTCTCCATTTTCTTACCCTTTCTTCTTTCCATCCATCCATCCATCCATCCATCCATCCATCCATCCATGCATCCATTTGCTTGTCTTCCTGTACATTTATCCATTCTTCTCATCTGTCCATCCATCTGACCATCTGTCCTGCACATTTATCCATCTATCTTCCTATCCTTCCTCTTTTCCATCCACCCATCCATCTGACTTCCCACTATATTGTCCATTTGCCCATTGTCCCATCCATCCATCCATCCATCCATCCATCCATCCATCCATCCATCCATCCTTCCGTCCAATAAAACATACTGAGAACTTGCTGTTAGTCACTGATTAAGGACTCCAAGGAGGTCATGGTCCTTATCCATGAGTAGCAAGACAAGGCAGGAAAACACATACCCTCAGCTTGATGTGCTTGGTACTAAAAGTGCTGTGTATGCAACTCATAAAAAAAGGAGTGTCTCCTGGATCACGACATGTTGCCTTCTCTAATTTTCATAATCATAAAAAGGTCCAGCAAGGAAAATTTATACAGACCCCTATAAGGGTCAAGAAATAATATTTTAGCAGGAGAATGGCTGAGATAGACTTGAGAATTTTAAATGTGAATGTTTCCATGATAATCTGAGTTTCAAGGTGACCTCCTTATTGAAGTCACCTACTATTGTGAAGCTCTTATTTTTGTTGCTTTGATTTGCCTTTTCTATCTTGGGCAGCAGCCACAGGTGCTGAGCTAATCCACGCATGCACAGGTCATTCCTACAGCAATTAGTCAATGACCATCTGAAAAATCACCAAATAATAAGAAATTATAGACAAGAGAATTTTAATGCTGGGTGATTAATTAACAAGGCTGGCACTAGATGCAATACATGCATGGTAAGATGACTTTAAGTTGTCTGTGGGCCTGCATCTACCAAATAGCCATCAGGGATAAATGTTATCGGAAGATCAATATTTAGTCATTGTCTCAACTGAGGCTGGCAGCACAGTTGCCTGGGGATGCCAGCTTGTCCTTTCACCCTTCTCCTGGTTTGGCATTCAACTTGGCCAGCACCCTGTGACCAGGACTTAAGGACAGGGGTCTTTACCGTCCTTATTCTGTCTGCTCCTCCTGAGTGCCCTGCAAGGCTGGTCCTGTGTCCTCATTGTGCACATCTAAATGTGAGTTGGAGCCCAAATCCAGACGTGTTTCTGTCTTGGACTCTTCATCTGCTGTTTACAGCCTCTACAATGTTTCTGAATCAAGGTTTGAGAACTCTGAGGCTAAGGAGAAGTCAATCTTGCTACAAGCAGACAGATATAGGCCCCTGCTCCCTTCTGGTTCAAGCCAGAACCTCCCTCATGGAGCAAGGGAGAGGGAGAAAAGTGTGCTTTTGGGGATGCTGAGCCCCGAAGCTGCAGGTGCCTCCAGGAATGCCTGGCTAGCCTCAGGGCTGGGCTCCTGCATTGTGGGGCTGGGCCAGGGGATCCAGGCAGGTACCTTCTCATCATATACAATGCGAGGCCTGATCTCTGGGGCCTGGTAGCCAGGAGTGCCCTCCACGCCTAGAGCACCCTCATGGAATGACTGCCTCGAAATCCCGTAGTCAGATAGCTTGATGTTGATGTGCTCCTTGACGTCAAGGGACCACACCAGAATGTTGTCCGACTTCAGGTCGCAGAAGATGATGTTTTTCTTGTGCAGGTAGGCCAGGCCCGAGGCAATCTGGTAGGCTATTTTTTGGGTGAGCATGTGTCCCAGCGGTATGAAGGAAGAATCTTGCAAAGAAAAACAATTTTCAAATGTGTCAAAATTTCAGTTTTGATAGAATCAAATTATCATGATAGCAACTGTCTTTTTGTCTTCCTATCTCCCTAGATACTATATATTCTTTTTTTCTTTTTTCTTTTTTTGAGACAGAGTCTCCCTCTGTCACCCAGTCTGGCGTGCAGTGGCACGATCTCAGCTCACTGCAGCCCCTGCCTCCAGGGTTCAAGCAATTCTCATGCCTCAGCCTCCCAAGTTGAGTAGCTAGGACTACAGGCGCATGCCACCATGCCTGGCTAACTTTTGTATTTTTAGTAGACATGGGGTTTCACCATGTTGGCCAGGCTGGTCTTGAATTCCTGGCTTTAAGTGACCTGCCCGTCTGGGCCTCCCAAAGTGTTGGGATTGCACATGTGAGCCACTGCACCTGGCCCCTAGATACTTTATATTCTATTGACACATTCTCACTATTCACCAGACTGCCAGAAGGGACAGAGAATGGCCTGGTTAAGTGAAATAGTATTTAGGATAGAAGTGCTCATCACTATAGCTTCATTCATGATACCTTATTCCTGGAATTGCTGGCAGTTTTGCTGAATGAGCAAGGATTCGAAATCTCTAGAGTTCATCTCAGGTCAAGGCTGTCCTACGTAAAGGGGTGAGTTGCAAGTAGAAGAATTTTGTTTGGCTGGGTGTGGTGGCTCATGCCGGTAATTCCAGCACTTTGGGATGCTAAAGTGGGGGGATCGATTGAGCTCACAGTTCGAGAACAACCTGGGCAACAGGGCGAAAGGCCATCTCTACAAAAAACAAAACAACAAATTAGCTGGGTGTGGTGGCATATGCTTGTAGCTACTGGGGAAGTTGAGGTAGGAGGATTGCTTGAGTTCAGAAGGTCAAGGCTGCAGTGAGCTGAGATTGCACCACTGTACTCCAGCCTGGCCAACAAAGCAAGATCCTGTATGAAAAAAATAAAATAAAGAATTTTGTTTAAAAAATTATCTTCCATTGAGGCAGAAGTGATTGATTTTAATAGCATTTCTTCTTCCCTAGTCAAAAGATAACTACCTTTCACCCTCTGGCAACTCTGGAGTTTAGTTGTTCATTTCTCAACTTAAATTACTTTAACGTTTTATTTTAAAATATAGTATGGTCCCACTGACCCTAGGATCTGAGTCTCAGCAGTGCAGTTAAGACAAAGTGATTTAATGCAGCTCATGTGCTTGGTGCCCTCCCAGAGAGGATGTTATCATCCTCCTTTTACAGGCAAATAAACTCAGTAGCATCCTGGACCGCGGCAGAGCCTGGTCTTAGCCGACTCCACAGCGTGCCCTCTGCCGTCCTCGCCAAGGCTCTGCCCAGTGACTGGACCTGGCGAGGTGCCTGGCCTCACACCCAGGGGATGGTCACATGAGCCATGGGTTGGGTGTGCCATGGGCTTGCCAAGGCCACCTGAGGCTCTACCCCCATGCCAGGCAGGAGGCGCCTGGGGCTCTGTTGGTCTCAAGAGTCGGGTGGGGCGGCACACCGCGGTACCTCTGGCGTTCTCCGACAGCACGGTGTTGAGGCTGCTGAGCGGCGCGAGCTCCAGGGCGAAGCAGAGCGGGTGGATGCTGATGCCGATAAGCGCCACAATGCAGGGGTGCTGCAGCGCGTGCAGCATGCTGGCCTCCTGCCGGAACTCAGAGAAGTTCTTCATGGCGTCCGTGGCCCGCAGGTGCCTCAGCATGGTGTCTACCATGGAAAGCGCAGTGTCAGCCAGCAGGACACGGGGTACCTGCAGCCTCAGGCCTCTCTAAGGCGGCACAGAGCTTAGACCCTGGCAGCACATGTCTGAGAAAAACAGCACCAACCTGGGACCTGCTTACCTGCTGGGACGTTAGCAAAGTTCTTGAATTTTTTGATGTGGAAGCGCTTGACAGCTACGGGTTGGCCCTGGTACCGGGCCCGGTAGATGACGGTGCCACTGCCACCCTGGCCCAGGACGCTGCCCTCGTCCTCGCTGTGCTCCAGCTTGCTGTTCTCCAGGAAGAGCCTGCCACACACACATGGCATCAGCCACATCACCCCCGCCCTGACGCGGGTGGGTCCTGGGCTGGGTCATTTGTCCCCATGGCCGAGAGTCATGGTTCAAAGCCATCTGTGAGGCTGGACAGATCTGGGCCACCCCGGCCCTGCCACTTGCGGGTGGGCACACCTGGGTGGGTTATGGAGGCTTGCTAAGCCTCAGTCTCCTCTGTAAAGTGGGCTCAGGACCCGAACAGCCTCAGAGGTGGTGATGGCTGGCACAGGGTGAAGTCCATGGAAGTGGTGGCCGTAGAGAAAGGATCCCTTTGGAAGTTTTCTTCTGAAAGGTGACGTTTCCTATTTCCTCCCCAATTCTCTCCCTAGTTATCATCTTGGGTTAGCATAGGTAGAATAAACTCTAAGAACAGATTTGAGGGGTCCAATGCTGAGCACTAGGGTTACAGATAGGAGTCAGCGTTTGACAAAGGAGGTAAACAAGGCTCTGGGTGGGAGCTCTCCCCTTCCTGAATGCCCGAGGAGTGTCGGCTGTGCTTATCTGCTGGCCCAGGAGCTGGTGGGGAGGTAGGACTGGAAAGGAGAGGCAGCTCAGGAGAGAGCAGCTCTGGCTACGAGGGGAAGGGGGAGGCATATGGGGAGGCAGGATGGCTGCACTTGCAAAGCGCTTTTCCCAGCTGGGCCTACCAAGGCCTCCAAAATGGAAAGCCAGCAGCCTGTACCCTTCAGGCAGCCGAGGATGGGAACCTAAAAAGCTACTGAGATTGGTGGGAAGTGATGGCTGGGGCATCTGCCAGCTCCGGAGGGGTCTTCCTGGAGATCACTTGGCAACTGCACAACGAGGAGCGCCCCCTGTGACCTGCACTGTGTTCTGGGAGGGGCCTTCGGGGCATACCTGGCCGGGAAGTCGGTCATGAACAGTTCAGGGACCAGCTCCTGGAGCGGCACGGGGAGGTCCGGGTGTCTGGGGCAGGAGATGAAGTCCCGCTCGATGGCCGTGAGGACGCAGTCTTCCATGTCGAAGTATTGCACACCCTCTGATTTCTCACTGGGGTCTGTGTGCTGGGCCCAGGCTGTCTCGCAGACTGGGCAGGGCACATACTGCTCCATGAGTGGAGTCCCGTCACTCTCTGTGGCCGTCAGGGCTAAATAAGGACAGAGCAAGAGACAGCTTCACAAGAAGGAGGTGCAGGAGGGCCCCTGAGCAGCACTCTGTACCCCAGGCCCTGAGGCCTTCACAGCAGGCGAGTTGCCTGTCCTGGCCTGTACCCGAGAGACAGGCTGAAACCCATTGCCACATTCAGGTGCCTTTTTGGAGAGCGCAATTGTTTGTCCTGAAAGATGCGTCTAGGGAGGGTTCAGGATGCTTCTGAGAACTGCCCAGTGGTCAGGACCCTGAGCAGCCTGGCTGGGGGGCCTGAGAGGAGGGTGGGGATCCCTCCTGCATGACTGGGCCCTAACAGGTCATTACAGACTAGGTCTGAGCTATCCTCCAACAATCACAGCAGTGTGGAAACCACTCTTCCTACAATTAGAAACATCAGGTTTGCAATGTCTATGAAGGGCAATGCAGGGGGAGAAATGAGTGCAAATTATAACAGACAAAACTGAGTCAGTGGACATGGGTTCCCTCCCACGCCTCTGATAGGAGGTGGAGAGAAACACCCTCCAAGGTGCCCTGTGGAGGTGCCCTCAGGGCAGGCCAACTGCCTGCTTCATGCAGGGTAGGAAGTGGATGCCTAGAACTTTCCAGGCACATCTAATATCTGTAGGTCCATGTGTAAGGCATCCTGTTGGGAGGGGCCCCTGGCTGGGGATGCCAGCTCAAGGCAGCCTGTCTCAGGTGCTCACCAGAGCCCTTTCCATCTCAGGTGACTGTCTAAGGGATCCACCTGTCAAACTGCCCAGCACCTGCTGTGGGGGGAACACTGGCTGGTGGGGAGCTGCAAAGTGCCCAGAAGGTTTACATGGGCCTAAGGGGTCCCCTTAGATGGCCAAGTGCCTCACAAATCACCATGACACACACACCCAACTGCCTTCTCCGAGGGCTCCTTTCTAAGCCTTTTTTCCTTGTAGGTCACCCTTCCTGCCAACAGCGTGAAGGACCCAACCCTGACAGAGACCAGACCCTGGGATCTGGAATGTGTATCCTGAGTGTATGCTGCCACTGCTCCTTAGCCACCTTCCCTGACGCTCTCTGGGATGCAGGCATTGCATGCAGGTGAGGCCGGCCGAGGAGGCCTGGGGACCTGCCGAGGCTTGCAGGGGCGGCACTGGAATTCCAAACCCGCTCTCCAGCCACTTGCTTGGCCTCCAGCGTTCAGGGGCTGAGGCTCTCGGGGCAGCCATTCCCACAGCTGTTTGCCCCATTAAGCTCCAGATGGCCTCCCCCCTGCAGGTTGCTCTGGGAGTTGTCTCCACCGCAGGAGCAAAACAAACAGGGAGCCTCAGCAACTTCACTCAAAGAGTACTTTTTTTGGGTGAACTATCAATGAAGAAACAGATCCAAAGGGACTGAGAAGGGCTGTGTTAGTGGTTTGATCACCGCCAGGATGGGTGGGGCGGCAGGGAAGGAGAGCAAGGCCCCTTGGTGGCCACAGCTCCCCTCCATCCCTGCCCCTGCACAGAGGATAAATTTCCATCTGCCGACTCCCCCCCAGTTTCAGCCACACCGTCCTCACTGTGAAAACAAGACATGTATGAGCTCACACTGAGTATCTCCGTGGACCATTCGTGGTACCAGTGTCATCTTTCTTGCCATGCCTGTGGGCAGCTGGTAGGCTGCTTCCCTGCACAATCCCAGTGGGGTTCGAGCCCCATCCTCCCCACGGTACTCCCCCCCCATGACAGAGCTGGACTTCTCGGGGGCCAGGACTCCCACCAAGGGACGGTTAAGACCCCCTAGTTTGCTTGGGCCGAATCCCAGTGGGATTTTTGTCCTCCCCAAAAGAAGCAGCCCCACCCTGATTTATAAATAAATATTAGCATGAACAAGGGCTTGTTTCCAGAATCTTCTCTTACCAGGAAACCACTGATCAATCAAGGAATTGACATGATCTGTGATGAAAGCCATGGCTGAGAAGTCCCTCATTTCTGATTGACAAATGATTTTTATTCCTCCACTTTTCTTCTTTTTCCAGTTCACATCGGAAGATTCCACACTGCAACCCAGAAACCAAAAGGAGCCCATTGCGATCTGGCTCTGGGGGACCCTGGGATGATATCCCTGCCCCTAGGGATAGGATGCAACCCCTGGGAACCTGGAGAGACTCTGTGCCCTGCAGGACTGATGGGGGACTCCTCCCCGTATGTACGTGTGTGTGGCCCTGCCTTGCTCTTGCCCCGGACTTGGCCTGGTGAAGGAGACACAAGGAAGATTGCCGTCACGGATGCTCAGTCTGGGAGCTGACCCTCAGGTGAGGCCCTCAGGAAGTTACCGGACCTCCCTGAACCTCAGTGTTCTCATCTGTCCAGCAGCAACGGTGGGCTTTAAGTGAGAACATCTCTGTGGAGGCCGCAGGTCCCAATCAAGCCCTCTGTAAAGTTGCCTCGCCTTTTCCCTTCTTCTCCTCTCACAGAGCTGAAGACTATTTTGCAAAGTTCATTGTAAATATTAAAATAATCTTGGGTGTTTATCATTCGTTAAACCTGCTGAGCTGACTTTAGGTCTACTGCTCTCAAAAAAAAAAAAAAAAAAAAAAAAAGAATAAATGGCACAGGGAGCTGTGTTCCGTGTCTGGTTATGGGCAGTGCAGAGGGAGGCTGAGGAGTCTCAGTGCCCCCTGCCCCCAGCCTGGCTTCTCACAGAACAAGGGGACGGGCAGGATGGCTGCAAGGTCACATGGTGACCTGAATAACTGTGGAAGGTGCCTGAGGCTCTCCTGAGCTCAATGGCCACCACGTCCCTCAAGTCCTGAGCTGTGACCGCCACATCTGCCTTTGCCTTTCCCATCCTGCAAGGGGGACTCAGCAGGGGTGAGGAGCCCCGAGCTTCTGGGACACTCATGGGAGGGCCTCACATTTCTAGCAAGCTGCCATGGCAAGCCACTCTCACGAGCAAAATTCTGGACACCGAGAGGATGAAGCATCCTGCTGACGTGGCCCCGGGGTGGCTGCTGTGGCACCTGCTGGCCCGGTAGGTGAGCTTCCAGGTGTTCCTACCTGAGGTAGCCCCCATCAAAAGTGACCAGGAGCCCTTCCTGCCAATAGATGGTCTGATTTCTTTTCACTCTGAATGTGCTACAGCGATTTCTCTGGTTTCCTGTAAAACTGTAAATGGCGACTTTCCTGTTCCTGCTTTTAGTATTCTTCTTGTTTTCAAAAAGCTGAAAGACAGAGAAAAGACCCTGCTTAAGTATTCCGGGCTCCTCGCTGGTCCTGGGCAGAGCTCTGCGGAGGCCGGGCTGGGCCCCATCTTGATAAATGACCCGCATCTTTCCCACCCTCTCCTCCCACGCTGCTCATCCCTGCTGCCAAATTGAACATTACATTATCTGACAGGGTTTCTAGGGTATTCTGGAAACGGTTTTTTCCAAAGAATTGAAAAATAGGCTTTCCTTTAAAAATTTTTCTCTTTCTGACTTTACAAGCAAATATTCATATTAGAAAATGCAGAAAATACAGAAAAATGTAAGAGGGCAAACAAAACACCCATTTAACACCAAGCAGAGAGAACATTCAGATTTTGGTATATGTTATTCCAGGATTTTTTTTTTCTATCTCCATATATGTGTAAAAAACAGCTAAAGCCATATTGGATTTCTAATTTCATATACATTAAAAAACCTCACTTTTCCTATGTCATTAAAAACACACATAAAATTCATTTTTCTAAAGTTTAATATTCTATTAAGCATAGTAATTTCCTGAACCACTCTCTTCTGGAAGTGTAAGTTGGTGCCAATCTTTTGCTCCTTCAAAACCACCGTGAGTTACATGAGAAAGGCACAGAGCTTTCTCTGATTGAAAACGGTATCCTTAGTTTAGATGTTTACCAGTCGGATTATCGGTCGAAGGGTCTGAATATTTTAAAGTTCTGGATGCATCCTGAGGAATCGCTTTTTGAATGACGAGACTGTCCTGTGCACCGACTACCAGTGTGCACGGGGCAGCTTCGTGCCCCGGGGCTGGGGATTATGGCTCAGCTCTTTGCTAATGTGATGGATGAAAAGTGGCATCTCACTGCTGCTTGAATTTGCATGCCTTTGATGAGTGATGAGACTGAACTTTTGTCCTGTCACCCATCTGAATTTCAATAGGACTTCTTTCCTAACTTCAAGTGAGGGATGCTGCTGCCCGGAAGGGCGCCCAGGCCTCCAGGTCCAGCTGGGCCCCGCTTGTGAGCTCAGCCTCCCACGACGTTAGTGCTCCATGACCCTCCCCTGAGAACACAGCGGGACACAGAGTTCAAAGGGAGGGCAGAGGAATGGAAAAGTAGGAGCACCAGCGTCTGCGCCCACTCCTTCAATCAGCGCACCCTTCTGGCACTATAAACCAGTCTCCCTCCGCGCTAACACAGGCTGCTACTGTCACGATGGACTTTAAGGATTTTGCATTGATCTTTCTTACCATTTCAGTGAAAATGGGGAGATCAAAGAACACTTTTATGGAGCTAAGAACTTATAATTCAATAAGGGCTTTCTAATTAGAATGTAGCAACACTAAACTCATACGGAGTTTAATGTCAAGGATTTGACAGTCAGGGATTATGTCAGAGGTTTGCAAAACCAAAAGTGTGTCAGAATCCCCGGGAGGGGTTGTGAAAACCAGTGTGGGGTTCCCTCTGGAGTTTCTCATGCAGCGGGTTTGAGGTGGGGCCTGAGAACTTGCGTTCCTCACATATTCCCAGGTGAGGCTGATTTTGCTGGTATAGGAACCCCACTTTGAAAAACACCACTGTAGCAAATATTGCTTCCATGTTCCCGCCTTGCATGAAATGAATGTTGCCTGACAGCTGGGACTCCTTCCCATAACCCCAGGTAGACCCACAGAAGCTAACTCCTTGGGCTGGGTCTCCAATGTTACCAGAGTCATGTAAAGTTCTGCACAAGTGGTTCTCAAACTGGACTGCACAGGGAACTCACCTGGGAGCCTTAAAGATACCAAAGAGGAATCACTTTTTCAAACAATGCCACACTCAGATTCTGATTCGCTCGGTCTGGAGTGTGGTCTGTGTCTTTTAGAATTTACTCCACGTGAGCCTAGTGTGCAGCCAAGATGGCAAAACTGTGCTTCTAACTCATGGTTCTCCAAGTGTGGCTGCTGGGCCAGTGGCATCCCCTCGGGGAATGGATAGAAATGCAAATTCTTGGCCTCAGTCCACACCGACTGAATCAGAACCTCTTGGGTGGGGCCCACCAAACCCTGTTCTAACAAACTCCAGGTGGTTTTGAGGTGGGCTAACATTTAGAACCACTGTTTATAAAGGATGTGCTCTGTCTAAGGAGGGTGCTGATTTGGAACTCACAGGATGGCTTAAATGTGTTGGCCAGCAGCCCACGCCACACCTGCCCCCTGGCACTACATTGGTGGCATGGCTCTGGGAGAAGGGTCTCCAGGCAGGGCCCCCCAGCAAAGGGCATTCCCCTCCCCCAAGGGTACAACTGTAGGTGCCTCTCGGGCATCTGCCTATGCAGAAACCGCAGCTATAATACCTGCAAGTCCATCTCCGCCAGACTGATCAGCATCCGTGCTATAAACCTTTGCCAGAAGCCAACAGGAACGAAGCTCATCTTGAATACCCTTTGAATGGTGTTGGCTGTGGGGTGCCGCATGCCGTGGGTGTCCAGGCCAGGTTTAGATGGAAGGAGATGGGGCAGGAGGTAGCTGAAACACACCAAGGGGGACTGGTGAACAGCGGGGCCCAAGCTCCACTGCAGTGCCCCGACCCCAGCAGATGGCCTGGTCTGGGGACAGGCTGTGCTGAAACACCTCAGGCTGCTGGGTTCCTTCCTCCCAGGGCCTTTGGAATTCTGTTATTAGTAAGAGAAGGGTGGTTTATATGCTGAGAATAAATACTCCAAAGGAAAATGAAGACTGGTCACATTAATATGTCTACTATGGTTTCTAAGATAAAGACTAGAATAAGGCTAAGGGAAGACATGAAAACATCTGTGGTCCTAAAAATGTCAGACAGCAAATGGGACTCAATTCTCTATAAATGGGGTTGCAGTTGGGGAATCACTTAATATTAACTTTGGTTGATGAAGGAAAAACAAATACAGCTGCAAGGTTTCAAGGACAATGCAGATATTAGGGTCAGAGTAACATTTTTGGCCTTCAAAGCTATTTATTGCTTTTGGCCACTTGACACGACGTAATTGTCTTAAAAGCTAGAATGAGCCTGATTTGTGCGAAAGAGGGATGTTTTATGAGAACATTCTTGGTCATCATAAAAATGCTGCATTATTGTGTCAGCAAGGCCTTCACGTCTGTCGTCATCTTAAAACAGCTGAAACCTGGGAGGTCCCTCCAAAAGTGTGCCAGAAAACCAGCAATAGCTGCATGCTGTGGGGCTGCGGGGGCAGGCACCAGACAGGCACAGGACGGCCCCCTGGGTGTGCAGATGCTGGACTCTTTCCCAGTAAAGGTTTTGCCTTCAGTTCTTCTAATCTTAAAATAAACCGATTTCGGTACAATAAATGTCCTTAGAACTTTCTGGAAGAGACTCCCTAAACAATAAGAAAATTCAATGACAGCCCATGGCCCAAGCATAGAGGCGCAAGTCTCAGCTCTGACATACACGCTCTGACACATGGGTATACAATGGGAGGAGAAAGGACCCCCTCTTGGCAGGGCTGGTGAAGGTAGACAGGGGCTGTGCAGATGACGCGGCAGACACAGGTGGTGAAGCAGGAGGCTTTTTCAGCCTTGCAGGTCTTGGGTAAAAGGACATTCCCAACCTCTCGCTAGATGCCTCTTCATCAGAGTGTCCTTCACATCTGAACATTCCTTGCTTCTCTATCTGCTCAGTGTTTGTTCCCCATACAGGAGGCCCTGGGCCGTGCCTGCTGTTTCTTTCTGCTTTTTCTACTTCATCTCATGCATCCTGGGTCTCTCACACGGCCCTCTTACAGTGGCAGTGCCCCATGGCTCTCCTGCTGCTCTCCTTGTTGGAGTGTGCTTAGAGAGGGCCGGGAGCATTCTCTGTCCCCAGGCGCCCCAGCATGACGTGCGGTGGCACACAGAAGAGGTGCTCCGTGATGTTTTTGGTATGAATCTTGGGAACACAAGGTTGGTTTAACATTTGAAAATCAGTCAACATATTCATGTAACAGAAAAATAGCTGAAGAAAAAAATTAGCTCAACGGAGGCAGAACAAGCATTTTTGGGGGACAAAATTCAGGGTCCATTTATGATAAAAACTTTCAGCAAACTGGGAATAAAAGGGAACTTCCTCAATGTGATAAAGTTTCCACGGATAACAAAGTTCTGTAGAAAACACCACACTTGAAAGACTGAATGTTTTCCCCTGAGATCACACATAATGATGTCTTCTCTCATCCCTTCTATTTAAGCCTTTGCTAGAGATCCAAGCCAATGCAATCAGGCAAAAAGAGCAAAAAAATATGCAAAGATTAGAATGAAAAAAGTAAAACTGTCTTTTTTTTCAAAAAAGAAGCATACTTAGAAAATCCTGAAAAATCTACTGGAGCTAATAGGTGAATTTAGCAAGGTTTTTGGATATAAGGTAAATATTTAAAAATAAATTCTATTTCTGTATACCAGCAACAACAACAACAAAAAGGAAATCAAATTAGAAGATATGTCATTTACCCATCTTGGAGAACATAAATTATGTAGACACAAATTTAACAAAAGACGCAGAAAATCTGAATGCTGAAAACAAACCATTATTGAGAGAAACTTTTTAAAAACCAAAATAAATGAAGAGATATACCATGTTCATATTGGAAGATCCAATATTTCTAAGATGTCAGCTCTCTTTGATCTATAGATTCAATGTAATCTCCATAAAAATCACAACAGTTTTTTTTTTGTGGTAGAAACAGACAAGCTGATTCTAAAATTTAAATGAAAATGCAAAGGATCTAGAATAATCCAAAATAATCTTGAAACAGAAGAACAAAATTGGAGGGTGTCATGTGCTGAATAATGAGCCCCAAAATATCCAGGTTCTAAACCCTAGAACTGTGTTTGTTACCTTACATGGAAATAGAGACTTTGTAGATGTGATTAAGTTACGGACTTTGAAATGGGGGAGAGATCCCAGATTATCTGGGTGGGCCTTAAGTGCAGCCACAAGTGTCCTTAAAGGATAGGGGGAAGAGAGAGACTTGCACAGAAGAAGGCAAGATGGTCACTGGAGCAGGGTGCCATGCTGCTGGGAGGGGCGGCTTCAAGATGGCTGACTAGAGGCATTTCAGACTTGCCTCCGACACTGAGAAGAGGCAAAATAGTGAGTAGATAATCGCACGTTGAATAGATCATCCAAGAGGGAACACTGGAATTTGACAGAAAAGTGACAGGAAATACCTAAGCCAAGGAAGGAGAAGGAAGCAAGGCAGCCTGCTAGGCTGATTGCTGAGAGAGATTCCCCAATCTGGGGAAAAGGTAAGTGAGAGATCCCCAGTGGTCCACATTCCTACTCTGGACTCCTGAAATCCAAGGCACAGGAGAGCCCCTCGCCCTTTGTGGGCCCTGAAGCTAACTGATGGGAGATTGTGCAATGGCACTGCTCTGAGGGTGCTCGCTCTAAGTCTCACACTCTCTGAGACCTGAGCAGCCACACTAAGGAGGCATTTTATTTACATTTTAATTTTTAATTTCAATATGGCTTTGGGGAACAGGTGGTGTTTAGTTACATGATAAAGTTCTTTAGCGGTGATTTCTTAGATTTTGGGGCTCCCATCACCCAAGCAGTGTACACTGTACCCAATGTATAGTTTTTTTATCTCTCATCCCCTCCCACCCTTTCCCCCAAGTCCCCGAAGTCTATTGTATTATTCTTATGCCTTTGCATCCTCATAGCTTAATTCCCACTTATAACTTAGAACATACAATGTTTAGTTTTCCATTCCTGAGTTACTTCACTTAGAATAATGGTCTCTAATTCATCCAGGTTGCTGCAATTGCCATTATTTTATTCCTTTATATGGCTGAGTAGTATTCTATGGTATATATATACCACAATTTTTTTGATCCAATTGTTGATTGATGCACATTTGGGCTGGTTCCATATTTTTGCAATTATGAATTGTGCTGTTATAAACATATGTGTGCAAGTATCTTTTTTGCATAATGACTTCTTTTCCTCTGGGTAGATAGCCAGTAGTGAGATTGCTGGATCAAATGGTAATCTACTTTTAGTTCTTTAAGAAATCTATAAGGAGCCTTTTTTTGTTGTTGTTGTTTATTTTATTTTATTTTTTTTGAGATGGAGTCTCGCTCTGTCACCCAGGCTGGAGTGTAGTGGCGTGATCTTGGCTCACTGCAAACTCCACCTCCCGGGTTCACGCCATTCTCCTGCCTCAGCCTCCCGAGTAGCTGGGACTACAGGTGCCCACCACCACGTCCGGCTAATTTTTTTGTATTTTTAGTAGAGACGGGGTTTCACTGTGTTAGCTAGGATGGTCTCGATCTCTTGACCTTGTGATCTCCTGCCTCGGCCTACCAAAATGCTGGGACTACAGGCATGAGCCACCGCACCTGGCCTACAAGGAGCCATTTTACAGCCCTGTCCCCAACTGACTGTGTACTGTCCTGGAGCCCAGAGGTGCTGGGGCTGAGGTGCAAGAGAAATGTGGGCTGCTACCCCTGGGGCTGAGGTGTGAGTGAAGCATAGGCTACCACCTTAAGGGCTAAGGTGTGCGTGACTACTCCCCACCCACCGGCCTAATCTGTTGCCACTGAAGGTGGCCCACCCTCCCCAGTGGCAGGGCAGCAGTGTGACCACTGATGTCCCCAGCCTGAGCATTCCATTGCTGGCCTGGGGATCACTCCACTCCTGCCTACCATGGCTGGTACCTGTACACACCATTGAGGGGCCTGAAAACAAGCCCACCTGGCCTGGCTTCATGTCCCCTGGCCCCTGTGACAGAGCACATGGACTAGGGCTGAGGGACTGCCCAACTCAGTCCACCATCAGTGGTACCTGAACACTTCTCCTGAGGGCCAAAGGTTGGGCCTACCAACTCTGCTGTTACCACTACAGCTGGTACCTGCTTGCACGTGTCACCCATGGCCCTATGTACAAGCCCAACCAGCCCATTGCAGCCACTGCCCATACAAGTGTGCACTGCTTGGGACCTACAGGGTTTTCCAGCCACTCCCACTGCCATTACCCACACCATGCCAGCTGCCTAGGGACCCAAGAATCCACCCACCTACTGGCTCACTGATACCACTACCAACATCCAAGTAAGCCTCCTGAAAGCCCAAGAATAGGCCTGCCTGGACCCTCTAACACTGGTGCCAGTGTGTACCACCCTGGGGTCCAATGACAGGCATGCCTGCTGCCACCACTGGGGCCCAAAGACTGACCCAACTGGCATCCCTGTCCCCAGCAAAACTTCCCCACAAGCTCCACTAACAATGGCACCGTAAATCACTGAGGAAATCACAGATACCACTGACATTGTTTATAGCCAAAGAAATCATACAGATTACACTACTGCATCTATGTAGAATGAAAGTCAAAGTGCCCTACTGAACCAATACCATAGATGCATCTTCGGGAGAAAGTTCTCCCCTATGAAAGCAAATTCAAATACTGGAAGAAGTAACTCTTACACCAGATGCACAGTCATCAATGTAAGAACACAGGAAACATGAAAAAGCAAGGACATACAACACTTCCAAAGGAA